TATAAATAAATCCAAGGATTTGTAAAAGTCTTAAGAATGTATTCCTTATAAATACCCGGAATTTGCTCTATAAACTATTTGTGTGTTAGCCCTTTGCTAGTGGTTTAAAAAGATTTAAAAACAAAAACAAAAACAAACACCCACGTGGCCCTTGGCCTCCCGAGGCTCACCGTGATGAGTGGCCTGACTTAATGAATGGCTACTGAGCGACAGCAGTTAAAGATTTCCAGACTGTCCAAAGGCAGCGTGGAGAACCCTCCTACATTCTCCCTCATCTCAGAAAAATGTCCGTTTCTTCGTTTCAGCTCTGCCTCCAACAAAGCAAGTAAAGCAGCCTCTGTTCTCCTGTATTCCCTGTGGTCGCACGCAGAGCTGCACAGCGCCTACAAGAAGGTAAGGATGCTGGAAAGAGCCAGGTGATAATGCCCTGCTTGACTGGGCCCTGGTGAGAACTCACTACAAACTGCGTTTTCTTGTCTGAAAAATGTTAAAGTTCACATTTCTGTTTGCTTGTTCCCAAGGCTCAGTTTAAGAAGACAGATTTTGTCAACAGCCGGACTGCCAAAGCCTTCCACTCCCTTAAGGACTGAGGAAAGTGGAGAACGTGGAGCCTCCCTATTCTCGGTCACCAAAAAGCCCCGAAGGAAAACACCTATTTTTCTACTTCCCCGCCCAGTGAATCGCAAGAAAGCATGCCCTGTTTGTATCTTTTTCTATTCCCATGGCCCCCAGGATCCAGAAAACAAATGATCAGAGTATAATTTATTAAGTCTTCCAGAAGACTTTTGCAGGTTTGCCACCAGTAGACCCAGGCTCGGTTTCACCCTCTGCAAATAGTGGTCTTTGTCATCAGGGCTGACGGTGCATGGCGTCCTGGAACCAAAATGTGAATTCACGTGGAATGGACATTGACAAAATAAATAAGGGAAGAAGCTGTTGTATGACTAGGATTTTTTTAAAAGTCTGATCTACATCTGTTTTCCTGTTCTGGTTTCCATGTTTTGTCACTCACATGCATGTTGTTTCACCATTGAGCCATGAGTGTGTTGTTCTGCAGTGTCGAAAACAGAAAAATGGAAATGAGATAATATTTGTTGAGTTTATCTGGAAGAAAATTTAAATGGCAAAATCATTTGTTTGTTTATTTTGTGTTTGTTTTTATCCTCTTGATTTTTTTTTCTCTGATTTTCAATGAACTTAAGAAATTTAGATCACAGAGCACGCATGACTGTAAGAAAAAGAAATTGAAGGGAAGTGATCGTTGCAAATGTAAAAATCTTTTCCACAGAGAAAGGCAACTATGGTTGTGGAATTCGGTGTTCCCTCTAAATTCTGAATAAGTGGGATTTTTGCTCAAGAAATTATTTCACCTATTTAACACCACCATTAAATGCAAGTCTCTTCTGACACTACCGTTCAGTGTAATTTGTTCCCTGGATTGGCTACAAAGGGAACCCGGGCCTCTCACACTGCTGGACCAGCCAGGGCCCTGAAAACACAGCTCCTTTTAATGAGTTACATTATCAACCAGCCCTCCATTGCCCAACGTTTAAAAGTAATACAGAACCACTAAGTCTCGTATGACCTTGCTCAAGCCATTATTTTAAGTCAAGGAAGTGCTCGAGAAGAAAAATGAAGTTACGCTGGGGAAGAATGTGTCCAGCCCACCCAGAAATGATGTGAGAAATAGTCACGTTTAAAAGTTGACAGCATCACCTATTGAAAGGACTCTAAATTAAGTGTTACTTTAACTGTGCTGTGATTAATACCATTCAGATAGAATTAGTCTTCTTAACTATAATTTGTTATGTTTTGCTTTTTTAAAAAAAAAATCTAACAATGTTTGTTACAGAAAGTCAGAAGGAAAAAAAATCCTTCAGCTCCTTTTGGCCAAAAAAAGTATAAGAAATAAATTGCCACTTTCAATTTGAATGTGTACTTAAGTCTTTATTATGTTTAGAACTTAAAATTTTTTCAATTTTAAAAGCTCGATGAAGAGAACCTAATTTAAAATGAAATTATTTAAATACAAATTTTTAAAATAGTGAAGAGAGAAATTTATCTTTTTTCAGAGTCTGATAAGCATTTGGAGTCTATTTATTCCTCCAAGTAATTAATGTATATTCAAAAAGTTTCTGTGTTTTTAAGGCATTAGTAGAGCCTTCAATAATATTAAACACAAAATAAGGCAAAAATAACACTGCCTGCATTGGGATCTGTGTACATTTTGGTTTATTTATGTATCTTGGTTTATGTGGTATGAGGGACATGACATTTGAGGCTTTGACCTTTTAAATTTCAACTTTAATTCCTGAGTTTAATACTTTGTAGCTGCTTATGTTTGTTCCCTAATGAGTCCTAAATCCTTTACCAAGAAGCACTTCCTGTGAGAAAGATGGGGCCAGCTAGCCACTGACCCACGTGAAAATGGAGGGACATGCGAGTAAGTTAGCTCTGGTCACATTTTGGTAAATTGAGTGGCTCTGTGACCGTGAAAAGATGGGCTTTGATCCCTGTGTCCTGCTCTGTCCACTCTGTTTACAAAAACCTGAGTGCTTCTGAGGGAGGTCCTTAGGTGACTGAATGTCAGTTTTGATCATAGGTCCGTACACAAGCTTTTCTTCTTTTCCGTGTCCCAGACTGGACATTCATCAGAGGAACAGGCAGGCTCGGCTGGGCCCTTGCGTTTATTTGAGCTGAGAGTCCTAAAGGGCTTGCTGCCTTGTGAAGAATTCTTGATGGTTTTCTGGAATATGAGAGGCTGCTGTCCTGGGTTTCTGTCAACTGGAAACATTTGTTTATACTTGATGGAAATAACCAAAAGGTTATCTGACAAGATAGAAGGGAGATTAACGTGTCAAAGGGGCAAAGCAGCAGCATGAGTAAATAAACCACTTTAAAAGCACTTTAATCGTCTTATGAAGAAGCAATTCCTTAGGAGAAAGAAGGAAATGGGGGGGAAATGTATATTCTTAAGTATGTGTGTATATATATAACTTACATGCTACAGTTATACATGAAATTCCCTCTAAATAAGATACATAATGCAGACCTTGCATTGAAGTGAGGAGGACTTGAGTACATGTGTACTTTGAACAGAACTGCAGAATCTAAGGATTAGGAGGGAATTTAGGGGGCATCTGGTCAGGTCCTCTTTCAAGTGTCTTCCTGCAGCAGAAAAGATTCAGTTCTTATTAAAGTGACAGAGAAGAAAATTACGCAATCATTCATTCAACTAATGCCCAGCATGACCCCGTAACTGGTGCATCTTGAGACTCAGTAATGGTTGCATTTTATTGTGGGAGGGGAAACGGATTAGAAAGGAAGCAAGCTCTTCAAAAGAAAATTCTGCTTTAGGTTTAACATTTTACACGTAGTGCCACTGAGGGTTTCATCTCTTTCGAAATAAACTTCAATCTTGTAAGGACTGTAATCAAAAGGAAAACTCCCTTGTTAATGATCTGTTCAGGAAAGAGACCAAAATGCCACACGCTGGCACGGGAGTTGTTGACAGTATGATAAGGGAAGGTACTCGAAAGCTGTCTGGGAGACACAGGTAAGAACCCAGCAATATTCAGCCTGGAAGAAGGGTGTTGTGTTACCGGTCATTAAGTATCTGAAAAACCCACGGTACAGAAGCCCTCACAGTCTCCCTCTGACCGTGGAGCACAGACCAGGGTCGGTAGGTGGAGGCTTGTGGGACTGGCTTTGACTGAACAAGAGTGCGCATCTACTGACCACTTCTCCCAGCCTTTTCATGAAGTAACACCTTTTTCTTCTTTAACACCTCATTGTGGCATGCTTCCTGCACAGTAAACTGCACATATTTCAGGTGGACAATCTGATGGATTTTGATAGATGTACACACCTGTACACACCCATGAAACCACCACCACACTGAAGATATCTAACATTTCCATCACTCCCCAGGAGGTGCAATTTTCAAATTCCCAATTTATCCCTTCCCACTCCTTTTATCCCCTGGCAACCATAAGTTTCTTCTTTATGTCTATGAGTCTGTTTCTCTTTTGTAGATAAGTTCATTCGTTTCCTTTTTTTTTCTCTCAGATTCCACATATAAGTGATACGGTATTTTTCTTTCTCTTTCTGGCTTCGCTTAGAGTGATGATCTCCAGCTCCATCCATGTTGCTGCAAATGGCATTATTTTATTCTTTTTTATGGCTGAGTAGTATTCCGTGTGTGGGTGTGGGTGTGGGTGTGTATACACCACATCTTCTTTACCCAGTCATCTGTTGATTTACATTTACATTTTACACATGAAAATAACCAGAAACAGAGAAAGGTTCAGTCGCATCCCAAAGTTACATAGCTAGAAGGGCCAAATGAACCCAGCTGGGATGGTTTCTCATGGGGGCTTCCCTGGGAACCACGGATGAAAGACTGATGTCTCCATCTGGGGAGATGTGGGGCTCTCTGGCGAGTTAAGAAGACAGTCCGACATAATGGTTAAGAGGACTGATTCTAGAACCAGCCAGCCTAAACTCAGTCGTGACTGCCTCACTTTCGAGCGGGGGTAAGTTTCTTCATTTCTCTGAGCCTCGACATTCCTTATCTGTTGTATGTGAATGGTAGTAGTGGTTACCTCATTGGATTGTTTTGAGGATTGAGTGTTTTCATAATTACAAAGCACTTAAAGCAGTGTGCAGTATGTACTCGTTAAATGCTAACTAAAGTTGTTTGGAGTTCCCTGGTTTGGGGGACAAAGCTTTTCTTTTTTTAATCCATCTCTTTTCAGATATGAGTGGTGTAGTTAAAACCCCCAGCCTTCCCCCAGCCACCCATTTTACACACACACACACACACAGTGACCCATCCCTCAGACGGCCGGTAGAAATGAAAATAAACGTGGCCCAGACAAGTAATTCTGCATGTCTGTTCTTTGGGGGTATTTATAAGCGTTATGTGAAAAGAAGTATCACATACTTCAATAAGTTTGAGAGGGGCTGAGTTACACAAAAATTGAAAGGATCCGGATTACAGGGCGGGGTAGAGTATGTTGCATGTCACAAACCTTTTGTATGAATCAGTAAACCCCTTTTTTCTTAAATGACTCTTGAAGCTGTGCTTCTGTTGTAAACACTGTGACCAGCCATGATCTAAGCCACAGGCAAGAGGGCAAAAGTTATTTATCTTGTTCACGGTCTAGCCCAGCTCATCGCCTGGACCAGTAAACCACACCTGGAAGTAGTAAACCATACCTAGCTTAATCCTGGTTTAGTGAAATCCGCAAACCAGCAGTTTCAATAGATTGAAGACTAGTCCCTGAACATTTTATCTCATTCCCATCCGGAGTGCCGCTGATCTGTGAACAAGAAAATGACTCCGGAGGTACATACTAGCCCGGAAAAGCAGACCGAGGCAGCGACAGACATTCCTATCTCTGGCTGAGCAGACTTCCTCATAAGTCTCGCTTCAAGAGACAGTTAAATCTCTCGGAAGCCTGCGTTTCGCCTGTAAGCTGCTAACGCAATACCTCTGTCAAGGAATAAAAATCAAGCCCAAACTGTTGCAGATTTTCTTAGAACGTAGCAGGATGTTCCTCCCAGTAACAGTGAGTTTTTTGGATGTTTTCGTGCTTTAGGAAGCTAGGGATCTCCATTTTCAGTTAGGATGTCTTTCAGCCTACATGTATTGAGCATTTACTCCTGGAACTGAGGACCAATGAGATGCACCTTTCTGAGGAGCCACTCACAGATCATGAAACTGACTTCCCTGTGACATTTTCACAGTTCACAGCGCCCTTTGCTTCACCTGGGAAATGAAGAGTTTCAGGTGACGGTTAAGGCACTCTGGACCCACCCAGGTCTTCTGGAATAGAGAAAGATCTCTCATAAAGAAATGTTAGAGTGAGAAGCAAAGAATTATTGAGACAATACCTTCATTTTTAGCCAGAAGGAGTTAAGTCCTCTGATAGGAAGGTATGAATATCTTGCAATCACCTTTAATGAAAAAGAATATGAAAAAGTATATATATATACATGAATGACTGGAACATCATGCTCTATACCAGAAATTGACTCATTGTAACTGACTACAATTTTTTTTAAAGTCCATGAAAATTCCAATATTTAGAAAATTGGCAAAATTTATTTTCCTCAGTTTGTTTCTTTTACCCCTTGCTCTAATTAGAGATTTTTGCAGTTCCTAATTTTAAAAAATATATAAGTAATCTATTTTAGTGGGTATTGTCAAAACAGCTTTATAAAGAATTATATTTGGACATGTTAAGTAGCATATTAACATATTCCTAGTTTTAGTGACTCATACCTAAAATGACCCATTTCGTCATCTCATTTTCTATTTCTCCTGTTATAGATTATCACTTAAGATGCTTCATTTGTATTTGAATAGCAAAAATGTTTAACTCAAAATGTCTTATGCCATAAATGT